ATGAGCAGGGCATTCGACCTACGAAGCCAATAACTACTCCGTCGCCGGCAGGTCTTTAGCAGTAAGTACTTTGAAATTACTTTAATTACTTTCAAATATACCAATACGTATTAAATAGTAATATGAATAACAATAAATAATATAATATATTGACGCGGGATGCCACCAGATGCCCAAACATCATGAGTAAATCGATAGAAGAGCAACGTTACAGGATGAAATAAATTTGTAACTCGGTTGAAAGGATTCCCATAATTCTGAGCCGCTTTTCACCTGGCATGCATTTTACAGGAGTCAAATGCAAGGTAATGGAGTGGTTCTTTCATGAATATGCATGATACCTCGGGTTCCGGGAACCTTCATCAGCGAATTTTCATAAGAATTTTCCTACGAAGTTTAAAGGCAACTCGGTTTCACGGTCTCTCGCGGCTTTCCGCGCAATTACATTCGCGGCTTCGATCGCGAATCACAAGGCGGAATTTCCCATGCGCTGCACTCAGATTAATGACTTTCACGTAAATAATGCACCACTTAAGAGTCTCGAAAGGAAATGAGCCCTCGTTCTTTGTTTGAAATCGCAGAGGGAGAAAGGAAAAGGGGGGGGAATGCATCGGAAATTGATCGATGGAGGTGTCATTAATCACACTGGTTGCAATCCACTCCGACAATGTACAAAAATCGGACCGAAAACCGAGAAGGTACGACGAGAGACGGAAATGTAGAAGAAACGCAGCCTGGCACAGATGGGGGGAAGGAAATTGACAACCCATGTCGTGCCATCCCGCCATCACGAGCACGAAAACACGGAAACCTGTTTCTTGACAGAGATAAAAGACACACGTCAGGTTTTCTTCCACGGTCCTCTGGGGGAATCTATGCACTATTGATCTGGAGCCTAAGAGCGGGGGAATTTCATTTCGTATTCCCGGACCGGTTTAGGGAAAATCGTGCCCTTCAATTCCTCCCCCTGACAAGCAATGAAGGCGGAGAAAAAAAAAACAGACTCAGATGTTTCTGCGGTCGATTGAATTCTGAATGGGGAATCGGCGGGAAGGGTGGAGAGGGTTTCCAAAGGGACCTCGTTGAGCTGGTAAAGAAAAAGGGAAAGAGAGGGAATTTCGGACCCAGAAGCGCCGAAAGTCCGAAGTATTTGTGCAATATTGAGGAAGGGACAAGGGTCCCCCCCCTTATGGACACATTCAATTATCCCCTCTTTGCAATGGTGCTCGGGGCACGTGAAATCCAGTTACACTCGCATTCCAAATGTCTTTTCTTTCGGCTTCCGATCCTCTCCCATTCCCTTATGTCTTTTGTTTAAACAATCCTCCCCGCCTTAGGAAGGGCCGGGTGTTCCCAACTGGCATTCCGGTCCAGTTTCCCCGCCGACAACGTTTGGACGAAGGTGCAAAGGTGAAACAGGATTGTGATTATGCTATCGCTAGCATTCCGCTTCATGAACTTGAACCCTAATTTATAATCCATGGCATGTGCTCCTCAATGAGCGTCATGATACAGCGAGAGTCCCCGGGGAAATTTTGTCAACTTCTCCCTTCTTTGCCCTCTCTTGTCTCTCCATATATTTCTAGACCCCTTTTTCGGATAGAACCTCTTTTTTTGTCGACCATCCAGATATGCAAATGAACACCCGCCACCCTTCGTCGAAATCTGAGTGGTATTGACGGGTACAGCCTACCGAGGATTTCACGGGCTTTTATGGGGCTTCTGTAAACGCTGAGCCTGCAACATTGCTTGCCCGGAATGCCTGGAGGAGTGCCCCGTCCCCGAGTAATTATCTACACTTGAGGGGCTTCTCTCACGTTCTCCTAATTGACTCGATCGATCCGAAATTCGTTTGCATTTTATTCACACGAGGGAGCCCAGTGGAGGGATTTTCACGGATCAGCGGGTCTTTGATCCCTGAACTTCTTCCCTGTCTTCCCCACAGGCTCCGGCGTCTTTAGGGGAACTTTCATGGGGGGGGGGGGGGGGGGGGGGGGGGGGGGGAACTAGAAAACCTGACGTGTGTCTTTTATCTCTGTCAAGAAACAGGTTTCCGTGTTTTCGTGCTCGTGATGGCGGGATGGCACGACATGGGTTGTCAATTTCCTTCCCCCCATCTGTGCCAGGCTGCGTTTGCATTACACGTTTGTGCTCTTTCTCGTGTAAGCTCCATCCCAGCCCACGACGGGGATACGTCGTGATAGGACTACATAGAGGCAACTCCTTTTGCTCCTTCCTGCGGTTTGTCATGCGATGGACATTCCTCTTCCTCTAGTAGGCAGTGATTAAAAGCTGCGGTCCGGATCTCGATCCTCACGCCATTCCCTCATAGATAAGCCAAGATAGAGGAGAAGAAAGTATTTACACGAGATCTTTCTTGTCACGCCTTCTTTGCTTCCTTTCGCGGAAAGATTCCCCGAAAATAAACCCCGGGGAATGGAGTTTCTCTCGAACCATTGGGAATGATTTGCGTGACAATCGCTTGTATAATTGCTCAGTTTGATGTCTCTTCCGCATGCAAGCAGCTCCGAACGTGCATAGCACGTTGCGGACTCGGTTCTTCCCGAGTGCACCGATGAGCAGGTGCAAGGGTTCATTAATGGAATGGCGATTTCATGTTATGCTTTAATAAGATTACTGCGCCTCGTTGTTCATCAGGGCTCTTTCGAGGTAATCAAAAGGCAAAAAAAGAAAATAGTCGTTTATGTTCCGTAGGGCTTTGGGCCATCTGGGCTCGTTCGGGGAAATGGGAGCTTTCCCGGCGGCGGGAAAAAATATCCTAAGTGGATTACGGCTGGCGTCGGAAAGAAGATGGAACCTGTTGCATTAGGAAGTCGATTAGGGTGATGAGGGCTTGGTTTCTCTAATCAGTCGGGCTCCGATACGGCGATAATGGAATGCAGCTAGCCTTCGTCGTTAACCAGGATCCTCTTGGGCATTCGTCTCGAGAGGGAAAGAAAAAAATTCCTCTCGTCGAATTGGAGATAAATAAGTGCCTCATTGATCGCGGGTAAGGCGGAAAAGAAGTATTAGAGATGGAGGAAAAGGCATTCTTGCGACTTGGAAGCGACAGAATACGTGTTGCATCGATCATGTGGCCATCGAATCGCTTCCCGCCTGATAGCATCGAAGAATGATATAATGACTGAGCATCTGATTGGCACTTCGTCATTGCTTTCCCGTAATTCCTGCACCTGCTGCTGTATAAAGGACTGAATAAAGGAATGTAGTAACGAGGTCTGACGCACGAGACGAGGCAGCTAGCATGTAATCGATGCGACGAAGATAAAAATGCACGAGGGCAGAGCGTAGTCGTTCTGATGGACATCGCTTGGGACGGTATGGAGAAAATGGGGAAGGCACACGAGAGGGATTACAGAGACTGATGACACTCATTCCCTTCCTATCCTTCTATTCCACGCCGAGCTTCGAGGAGGAACCCCATCAGTGGGTTCATGCGAGTTCTGGGATGACTCCGAGATGCTCCCTTTCACGAGTCCGTGGGGGATCGGGGAATAACCGACTCGATCGATGCACCGACACCCTTCATCGAGTTCCGAGCCGACGCATTTTTAACGAGGAGCATGTGTGACTCACACAGCCGCGGAACAGTTGGGCAAATGGGCCTCTGGGGTTCCAATAGACGAAGGAATCCCCTCTCTCCTTTTTTCCCCTCGCTTGATCCTCGAAAACTGGCACCGACAGGGGCTTCTATGCAATGAGCTTATCTAAATTGGGAGGGGGTAGAAAGAGCTGGTAGAATTGATCCACTTCCGATAAGTCGTGTGTTGAATTTCTGCACTGAGAAGAACGAGAGATGGGGGCTCCTTTTTCTCCCCTTTCTATGAATAGTTACTGTATGGAGATTTAGCTGCACCAATATTCGGGCTCCAAGAAATATCCTTGTATTGGATTTTGTTTGCGAAGTTCCCCGAAATGAAACTCGAGCCTGCTGGAAGCCAAAAACATGTGGCCCGCCTGACGTTAGGGATTAGTCGACGGGAGATTAGGAATCCCCGGCAATGTGGACTCGTGTGTCGCATTCGTAGATATCTTTCGGTCAATCGCGCTAATTCTATTATGCTATGCCTGGCCTGCAGAAAGGGATGAGACTTATCATGGAGTTTCATCACATGTGCCCAGAGCCCCCATTTTCCATCCGTCAGGGCCAGCCCCACCGGGAATTCATAATACGCTCGTCCTGGCGACGACGTCGACTCGTACGTGATGGGATAATTCAGTTTTCCTCTGGAAGAGACAGCGAGAGCAGCGGGAGGGTTTTCAGTCTCCGAAAAATGGAACCGGGGAGATCTTGGCCCTCTTGAAACCTCTTTGAAAGCAATCCCTTTCCCGCTGTCTTCTTCCCCCTTTTTCCACGGAGTGGTCGATCATTTCGGATGATGAGATGTCACCTCCCTTTCTCCAAGAGATGAGAAGAGGGGGAAAAAAAATCGAGTGAGTTTCGTCGCCTCGTCGCCCTTCGTTGTCGAAAGGGGCGAAAGCATTATCCCAGGAATTTCCCCCGGCGTTTTCCATCAGATTACTTGCGCTTGTATTATTTTTGTCACAGACTCCCTCAAAGAAGCTGGAAATGCGACAGCTGGAATCAGTGATCAGCCCCCGGGTTGATGGAGTGAAAATGAGCTTCGACGTAATCTAGGGAATATGATACTATAAGCCAGAGCGGTTAGCTTGTGAGCAAGCCGGGGATGCCAACTGAATCTCTAATGAAGACCCTCTAATGAACCAAGCCCTTCAATCACGCGTCGTCACATGGAGAGAGAGAGAGAGAACTCTATCTATCGTCCTTTATATCTGCCCCCGCTGAGTCGTGCTTTCACATGGAAATGTTCTCAGAGAGGAAATTATTCACTCTATACATCCTTCCTATGGCATATACTTCTGTCCTCATGCATGGCTCTCCCGGTTTGAAAGGATTCGGCGGATCATGCTTTCAGACTCTTCAATTCCTCGCCTCAATTCCTTCCAGGCATTCCAGGATGCATAATGATAACCCGGAAAATGTTCGTGTAAGAGCCACTTTTCTATATCCTGGAACGCAACCCAAATCAGATGAGAGTTCCCAGGGGAGCCTGGGTAAACGGATCTTCCTCGGTCGGACGTTTAGAGCAGTGGGAAAGTGCCCATTGGTCATTGGATGGGGCATGGTATGGGGCATGATTCGTGGGCAGGGCTCGTAAAAATGGAATGAGAGACACGAAGAGATGTCTACCCCTCCTGGATAATAACTGATAATCAGGATCGTAAAACCTCATGGGACCCGGGGAAATCTACCTCCCCCTTCATTTCAGGAACCACAAAAACACGAGCCCCATGGTAAATATTGCTGTCCGGGACGATGTGCTGCATACATGGCATGCATACATGACATCGTCTGGGGATTCTTGCTCCCACAGCCATCTACCTGTTTTCGTGCAGTTACCCTACCTTATATTCCAGGTATGGGAACATTTTTTTCTTCCGTGGTAGATATGGTCGATATGAGAATCTCTCGATAAACAGAGCTTTCCCTCTTTTTTTTTATCAATTTCACCCAGATCCGGGAGAAAAAAAAAATTTGTGGGCGAGCCCTTACTATGACTTGGGATTATTTCTCTCGCGAGACTAAGAAGATCTCCGCGAAAGTGGGGATACTTGTAATTGGATCAGATGAGATCTTCTCACTGCAAAACATTTGACCTGGATGGGCAGACGGCTCCAACGAACCCCATCCCCCAACGACAATTTCCAAGAGCCGACCCAAAAGCAAAAACCATCATGAGAACGGGACTTCCGTCCGTGTCAGCTGCTCCGCCGGACGCAATGAGATCGTATCGCAGGAACGCATTCCCCATTACAATTTGACCGTGCTCACACGGTGAATGTTTCATGACCCATCACGTCTGGATGTGGTAAACATCGCCACGTAGTTCCATCCACTTTTCCCGCTCTATGCCGCTGCCGACTAATTGACGCTTGCATGGGAAAGCGAGGAGTTCCCCCTCCCTCTTTAGGAATTCCCTCTCCCTTATGATGGATAGGTCAGTTAGTCTATTAGTCTTATAGATTCGGGCAGGGTGCCACAGAACACAGCATCAATTTGATGAATCGCTCCCTTCAACTCCCTTCGATTTCGAGAGACACCGCCGAGTTTTTCGACGACATCTCGAGCGGTCGCCCCTTTCCGTGCCACTTCGTCGCCCCGTCCAAAAAAAAAAAAAGATTTTCCACGCAATAAAGGGTGAGAGCGAGGGGTGGATCCCGTCTTCAATATTTCAGGCTCGGAAGTCTTTGGTCGGGAGTTCATTTCTTCCGGGGGGCGGGAGGAAATGAGGAAACTTCCGCGTGGAATAACTCCGCTTTTCCTCACAAAGATTCCCATCACCCATATCTTTACAATGCTTTTCCCCCTTATAGACCTACCTAGTGAGACGGAATGCATCTCTCTCTCTCTCTCTTCAGAGAGAGACTAATGGCTAATGGTGTTCCATTACCGATCCTGGAAAAAATTTTCAGAATTTTGTGCGGGATACCGGAAGAAAGTTGGTAATGAGATTCATTAGATTTCCTCAGTGTAATGAGGGTGATTCATAAACAAGCATGTCGCCTCTCAGAGAAGCGACAAAAAAAAAAAACCCAAAAAAAGCGCTCTCCTCTCTGCACGGTACAAATGAGGCTATTATCCAACTCCCGGCGTTGGCATAACGATCTCTCTTTTGTCCTCCCAGGGATTTCCACGATTCGGGTGCAGGGCACAGTGCCGACTCATCTCATCAAGGGAGAAAATGCAGAGCTGATTTGCGACTACATCCTGGAGAGAGGAGTGGATCTCTACTCGGTGAAATGGTACAAAGACGAAGAGGAATTCTTCCGATATGAGCCATGGGCCAATCCTTCCACCAAGAATTTCCCCCGGGAAGGAGTAAAAGTTGACGTTAGTTTATCGCCTTTCTCCATTGACTTTTTTTTCCTTCTTCTTAAATTAGCCCTCTTTTTTAATTTATGGTACTTTTAAGCTAATCTCATGCATATCAGCACTTCTGAAACTGGGTCGCGACTCCCAAGTGGGTCAGAAAAGGGGTCAAAGGGATTTCACGAATCTGGGTCAAGCGAATTTCTTTCCTTTCGTTGCCCTCACCGGACCGATTCAACTTCTTTCACCATCTCAATAATTTATCGAGGCAATTTTTACCTTTTTTTTTTAAGAAACTCCACTTGAGGAATAAAACATCAAGGACATCAATGGTTTTCATGGCTGCATTCGGAAAGCTATTAATGTTTGTGAATCTGAACGTGGCCTTGACTTTGTTCTTTGTCGATGTCAAAAGGCCTTGGAATGACTCTTTCTACGTTTTCTGGGAAAGAAGCATCATTTTTGCATATGTTCATGCATTGAGAAATTTGCGGAAAATATTTAAATCGTCATGGATGAAAAGAGTTCTGTTTTTCAGTGAAATTCACTCTGCAGGATTTCCTGGTACGGTCTGAATATTAAGCTGCACCGCTGGATGAAAAGTATATTTGCAGAGATTTAAATGCTTTCCTTTCCCTCTTTTCTCATGAAAGAGAATTCTTAACCCACCAACTCGTTAGAAATGGCCACGTTCTCGATTCCTGTGCATTATCAGACCCAACAACTCTCGCAAACCCTCACCTACATGATAATAAGCTGCGTTTGCTTACGTGCGTGCCCGCAATATATAGTACTTAAGCCCCTGAGTGCGTCTAATCTGCATGCTACGGGAAGGAACTCGATTAGGCTCTATTGAAAAGCATAGGTCTAAAGGGTTACCACTTTTTATTTTCAAATAATTATGAAACAATCGTGTCCAAGTATTTTTTTTATTTTAAAATTATGATGATGAATGAATTTCTTCCTCTTTGATCCCGATTCCAGTTGTCCAAGTCAGACTCGAAGAAAGTGTTTTTGACGGACGTGGACCTCACCTCATCGGGTTCCTACAAGTGCGAAGTATCCGCCGAGGCGCCTTCATTCGATACGGCCAAGTTCGTCTCCGACTTGGCCGTCGTCGGTTAGTTCTTTCCTGTCTCATCGCATCCTCGCTTGCCTCGTGCCTGCCCGGTCGAGAGGAAAGGGCTATTTTCCCTTCATGAAACTGAAGGATAAAAAAGGAAATTAGGCAGCGGAGTCTGGGTGATTCGTTTCACTCGCCGGGATGAGCCAGAGGAAAGAAAATGGAATAGGGCAAGACGGGACGGAAACAAAAAACGAAAAACCGTGGTTGAAGAGGACGTGGGAAGACGTTGTTAGCAGCTGATGAAATGCCGGTTCGCGTGACAACGCGAGGGTGAAGTACTTTTGCATTCTCTCACCTGTCAGCCCATTCTGCGCGATTCGCATGAAGGGATCCCGTCCACGCCCTTCTTTTCGTGACGGCTCTTTCGAGTACTAGCATTAGTTCACGACACGAACGTCCTCCCACACCCATCTGTCTGCATCGTGCCGCACATCTTTGCCGGGTTGGGGGGAATTCTCAAGGTCTTAGAAGTTAAGAACAGGCTTAGTGTTTCTTCCGTTTCCTCGTCGTACCAGGAAGCAAGAAGCTTATGCAAACAAGTGCGAGCGTTTGACCTTTGATGTGTTTCTTCTCCATCAGCCATTCCCAAGGAAAAGCCTCGGATAAGCGGAGGGAAGCAAACATACAAGCCTGGAGATTCGGTCGGAGTGAACTGCTCCGCGGGTCCCTCGAAACCAGCCGCTGCCCTCATGTGGTACATCAACGACGAGCAGGTGAGCCGCTCCGGTCCGTATCCATCGCGATCCTCTCGCCCCCGTCATCACCCGAAATTAACATGAAATCTCCATCACGGAAGGCCGACCCGGACTACTTGGAGGAATATCCCCCTTACGAGACGAGGGACGGCCTGGAAATGTCCTTCCTGGGCCTGAGTTTCACCGCAAGGGAGAATCATTTCCCCGCCCCAGAACACGTGCTGAAGCTCAAGTGCACGGCGACGGTGACGACCGCGTATTTCATGACGCACTCGAAGGACTTCCAAGGTCATCCTTCGCCGACTCAGACCAGGGAACCCGTCTCCGTCATGTCCAGTCTCGGTCCGTTCCCATCGCTTTTCGTTCTTTGCTTTCTCCTCGTCGGAAGGGGAGACGATTTCGTCCCGTTCCGGCCGCGTTCCCCGTTTCGATCAATCGAGCAGCGAGATAATCTGATAATGGGGAGAGGAGCTCTTCGGCACCTTCCGTGCCTGTCCTCTCCTTTATCTCCTTTTTTTTCTCCCCTCCATCTTCCTAATGCAAAAGCCCCCCCCCCTCGAGCCCGATTCTGTCAGATATCCCGTGCTTCGCAAACGATGATGGTTTTTGCGAGTGAGACGTCAAGACTTCCTCGAATCTGTGACGGATGAAAGAGCGAATAAAAACGAATGGAAGGATTGATGGATTGATGAGGGGGGGGGGGGCGGTGGGGAGAACAGGACAAAAGAGATAGGTTGACACAAGCCAGGAAGAGGAAGAGAGGGAGGAAGGCAATAGAGATGGATGGGTCTCCATAGACTCCGTTCCAATGTTTCTTCGTGAGCACGTGGTCCGCCTAATAATCCCATTAACTGGGGTGCATTACCGGTTGGATGCGAATGCAATCAAGTATGACCACATCGTTCGACCGGGGAATGCGAGGTCCACATATAATAACGTACTCCCTTCCACACTGAGTTTTTTTTATTGCCATTCAGTCGAGGGGCTAATGGGCTATGATCACGATAAGGAGGAGCTTTGGCATGCATTCAAGGCACGACAATTAAAATAATGACGTTCGACGCGAATATCCCATTAGAACGGCTGGGGGTTCTGCGGGTTTGCATGTTCTTCGGATCGGATTCCTCGGGGAATGGGAGGGGGAGAGAAAGAAAAAGTCCGTTTGGAGTCGAGATGGATTCGCTGTCTCGGCGTCAATTCGGTTTTCCGATATCGACAGAAGAGAAGTAGAGACGTAAAAAGGTCCTGACAGACGCCATAATGGGGGAAGTTGGGTTTTCTCCGACTGACTGGTGAGAGGGGCATCAATCACGTCCGAAGAAGGCAATTACTTTTCCTTCGGACTGACCAACCTTGTTAGAAAGAGCCCCCAGATCAACCAAATTGGCTCGCCCTGATCTCATGTGTGACAAATTGCCCCCCCCCCCTGCCCCCCATCTCTTTGCGCATTTCCTGCTTCATTAGTAACGCCGAATCAGACTCGAAAATAGACGCGGAAAGAAGAGATGGCACGTGATGACTCTCGAGAAGGGCTTCACTCGAAAGCCTCTTTCCAAAAATAGCTACAAACGTTTGCCATTTGCAATGCTCTTGCAGCAAATTGAATTCATTATTCCTTGTCTGAAAGAGGCTATAGCCTACTGCGTCACGGGGTTCTTGCACTCCAAATTCACTCAATCCTTGTCTAATTTAGGCTCCACAGATTTAGCCATCTAATCCGGTCGAAACGTTTCGAACTCCATTGCTCAAAGCGCGATTTCGGATATCGATTTCCCAGCGCACGAGGCTCAAAACGATTCGACTGGACTTGCATTCGATTAAACTGGACTGATTTGACACCCTTTGCCTCGTTTCCAGTCGTGTTACATAATCATTCATTAGACTTTCATTTTCATTTTTAAAAAATCTCATACTTGTTGCAGGTGGAAGTGGGAGCTGGTCACTGTCGCTGACGAGCCGACTGAGATTGCTCATGTTGGCCGTGTCCTTCATCTTGGGCAGCATCACTTCGTGAAACACCTTACCTCTATTTCCCTTCCCCCCTTTTCCATGACATCATGTGATAATTGTGCGTGATCCGCATTCCCCTCGATGGATTCCGTGCAATACCTGCCTCGTACGATCTAGTCGCCGGATCTGGTCCCGATCAGGACTGAAAAGTCGGAGTGAATGCGTCCGGAAAGGACGGGAAAAATTTTTTTTTCGTCGGTGAGGCTTTTTTTTTTCTACGACGAGAAGAGGCGTGAGGTTCTCTTCCCATTCGTATCCTGTGTTAATCTCCATCATATCAGTTGATTTCGTCGCATTCGAAGTCGTCGTCTCCTTTTAACTCTAGTCCGAATGCACTGAGTCCTTTTCTCTTGCTTGCTCGCTGTTGGCCATTTCACGATGGGAATAAAAGAATTACTACAAACATAGATTCTCTCATAAAAGAAAATAATCTGCCGAAGTGGCTTCGCGCCACTCGTCTTCGCTCGCCACTCGTCTTCGCTCGCCACTCGTCTTCGCTCGCCACTCGTCTTCGCTCGCCACTCGTCTTCGCTCGCCACTCGTCTTCGCTCGCCACTCGTCTTCACTCGCCACTTGT